AAAACTTCTTTTATATCTAGTTTTAAATCAACTATGTAAATATACATATCGTTCCTGTTTTGAATTTTGGTAATATGTGGAATTTTTTTTACTATTCGAAATTTTTATTACTGCAATTTGTACATCTAATGGTTATACGTATGTGCACAAAGGTATTTTTCGATATCTTGATTGGTTTAGGATTTAGCAAAAGTACCTATGCATTTTCCACATATTAAATGAGTTGATTTTAATCATAACAACACCGTAATATTATTTCATTTACACTAGCCAATCTAACACAGTGAATAATGGATCCTCTCTCTCCTTTTGTTGCATCCATGAACTTAAAATCGCTTTTTGGGTCGATTCAAACTCGTCCGTCCTTCCGTTAATATTTCTATTGGAACTTTTTATGTAAAGAACTCGCGGTACTTATAGGAAAAAAGGAATTAGGCTGTATTTCGCATTTCGATTTTTATGGATTTTGGTGGGAATAGTCTACGTACTTAGTGGATTATGTCCTCCAAATTTAATTTAAAATTGAAAGTATAATTGCAACTTCTATACCTATTTGAAATTTTGCATAAACAGATACTGTGCTAATTTGCCTAAATTACGTTTACAAATATTGCTGAAGTTATGAATGTAAAACTGAAATATTTTGCCAAAATATTTTTAGTTGACCCAGTTTGCGAAATATCGGTCAACAATTCCACGTAGCCCCCATATTATGCCCTATTCAGAAAATTACTATATTGCTTAAAAAACCATCTATAGCGATGAAATTCAGTATGAAAGAGTTTTTTTGGAAATGTATTTGTCAAAGTTTATGAGGATCGGTATATAATTGACTCTATCCCTCATAAAAAGTCTCCTCAGAAAATGACTTTAAAGCACATACTGTACTGCAATATAGCAACAAAATTCAACATAATCAAGTTTTAAAGGAACTAAAATATCTCTGTCAGATTTTATGAGAATTTGTCCATAATTGACCATACGTCTCATATAAGATCCCCTACAGAAAATTACTTTAACGCATAACTGTCTTCATAATACCAGTTTAGCGACGAAATTTAACATAGTTACAAGTTCCACTTCAGAAAATGAATTTGTTATTTTAATGTCCAAATGTAAACATGAAACAAATAAAAATAATTTAGTTTACTTTTTTCTGAATTTGGTTATTTTTTATTCGAATTTTGGTTAGAAAAAAAATTTTGTTGTGGCAACACTGGTTATGATCAAATTTCATAACAAGGAAAATAGTAAATTTTACAGATAAAACATATTCAAAGAAAAGAAAAATATATATTTCTTCACAAAGATAAAGTTTTTTATTTAAAATGTGTAAAAAAAAGTATTAACAAGTAAGAGTGCTATATTCGGCTGTGCGGAATCTTATATACCCTTCACCATAGTGTATTTAAAAATTCATTTTCCTGACTATATCTTTATTATAGCAATAGCAAAACATAATGAACAACAAATACGCTAAACGAAATAAACACACAAAAAAATACACAAGGCAGTAAATCAAACAGACATCCAAACAGATGAAACGAAATACTCAAAAAAACAAAATACAAAGGCAATGAATAAGTAGCGTTATTGTTGTTTATTTTTTATGAAATTTTCAGAGGTTGTCTCGGATTTTTGCTTATAACTCCTATTTAAAATCAGCAAAATCCGTTTTGCTGATTTTAAATAGGAAACTTCTTGAAAGCATGTCTGATAGAATTATTGAAGATTTGGATCCCGAAGATATCTGGAGTCTTCAGAAAACTGATTTCAACAGACAGACGGACATGGCTTAATCGACTCCGCTATCTATAAGGATTCAGAATATATGTATATACTTTATGGGGTCGGAAAATTATATTTTGGAAATTACAAACGGAATGACAAACTTATATATACCCTTCTCACGAAGGTGAAGGGTATAAAAATACTGTTTTTATGTGTTTTCATTCTTATGCACTAGTAAAATTGTTTTGGAGTGTACGAGTTTTTTGCAAGTAATTCTCTTGTTTACAAATTGTGTTGTTGTTTTTACAAATTGTTTTTGCAATTTTTGAAACAAAGCGACATCAACCTACATTTTGAATGCTGTTAAGCAACTGAAGATCATTTTTTGTATTTTTACGCTCTTGCTATGAGTTTTGTTTACGATCGGGTAGTGTACGTGTGAATTGCCGAAAATCTTCGTAATTTGAACAATATGAACGCGCAACCATAGCTGCCAGATTTGACGATTTATCGTCATTTTGACGATTCTTCGCTTCAAAAATAGCAAAGTGGCGATTTTTGAAAAATTAAAAAAATTAAAGATTTTTTTTTTTTTTTAATTTAAAGTGAAAAAAAGAAATTAATATTAAACTTGGAATTCAGTAAAAATAGAATTTATATTATAATGAAAACTAGAAATTAAATTCTATTATAAAACATTCTAAGTCGAAAAAGTGTGTTTTGAGTTTTAAGCTCTTAAAGCTTAAACATATTTTACATCTAAATGTGTATGCTATGTACATTATTTCTTATAACTTTTGAAGAGATCGACAGATCTGAACCAAATTTTCACACTGTATAAGTTAAATCCAGTACAAACAAGTTTTGTAAAAGAACTAAATTTTACGAAGAAATCTCACCAAGTTTATTCTTTTTATATCTACCCTGCAAAAAATAGGGCATCCTCGGAAGCAGATTTGTAAGGCAGAGAGCAGTTGTTACCGCTTGCACTTGTTATAAAAGAATATATGATTTTTAAATCGGATTCCTCTCGTAGAGCTATGCCTAAGGAATCCAAAATGTCCATATTTCATATTGTTGAAATTGCGCTAATTTCAGTTAATTAATATTATTTTTCAACACTGAACATTGATTTAAATTTAGAAAGATGCAAAAATTAAGTGATTTTAGAGCTGTTGAGAAGCAAATTTCTACACCACTAACAATAATTGCTGAATATATGCCTTCCAAAATCTTTTTTGTAAGGCAATAATTTTAAGATGCAATAGAAGAAGGAGTTAAAGATGCAGTAGTTATATTTATTGCTTCCAAATCAAGAATATTTTTTGTTGGATAAGTACTTGTTTACAGAAAACTTTAAAAAATTTTACAAACAGTTTTATGCTTAAAAAGATTAAAATATTCCTTGTGCACCAAAACAAGCAATATTTTGATGCAACAAGCTTTGAGAAATTTAAGGAAAAAGATGAACAAGTTTCTATACCTAAAAACTATATGTGAACACTATGTAATTTTAGCAGTATTTATGTTTGATATTTTTAAAAATGCCAGAACATTGAAAACATTATGAGAACATTAGAAAAGAATTAACATTACTGTCGAATATTCTTCAAAACTCAAAGTTTATTGAATCTTGAGCAATAATATTCCGTATTTTTCGAATTTTACATAAATATGTATTAATATAATATTTTTTTAATAAATTTCATCTTAAAATATTACAATATTTTCAATATTTTATAAAAATTTTAAGCTTTTCATATTCTCCGATTTTTTTACGATTTCTTAAAACCAAAATGACGATTATTTAAAAATTTATCGGGAAATTGACGATTTTTTCAAAAATTCATCTGGCAGCCCTGCGCGCAACGCTGGTGTAGTGTAAAATATGAAAGAGAACATAAATGAAAAAATGTGTGCTTTGCACTGAAAAAAATTATATGTTTGCACTTATTTGTGTTATTCATATTATTTGTATTATAAATGAACAACAGAGGGAATGTATACATCGATGTATGTATGTATTGACGAAACGATGTATTGATGTATATATTGATGTAAGAATGTATTAATGCATATGTTGATGTATTTATGGACATATGTATGTATGTCCGTTTATAAGTGTTCAAATGATTAACCGTTAATCGATAAAATTTTGGCGATTAATTGCTTGAATAAATGACAATACAAATATAATTGTAAATAATTATTTACCTAATAAAACTATCTGTCAAAAGTATTTATACAAACATTTATTTGTAACGGCTTTTGAAAATATTCTCTGTGTATCATTTCATAAAGAGAGCAACTAAATTAAATTGTTTTTGTTTTGTGTATAGTTTGTTTTGTTGCTGAGAACATTCGTATTGCATGTGTATGAATGAGAATAACACAATGCTCGCAGGGGCATGTTTGGCCGCCAATGAATTAAAACAAGAGAATACTGCTGGTCTTTTTTCTGTAGAATTAAACGGACAGTCATTAGTATGGTGTTGGTTAGCGCAAATCATACAAGCTGGTTTTCTATTACAGTGCTCTCCGCCATGCCCGTACATCATTGGCGGCCAAACATGCCCCTGCGGGCATTGTGTTATTATCACTCATACACATGCGAAATTGATTTTACATTACTTCGCTAACTGAAGCGGGAATTAAATTATAACTATTTAGTTCAGATTTTATCGCGATACAAATGGTTATATATCAATTATGGGCATTTAAGGCATTTTCTAAAGGAGAGTTTGTATAGGGATAGAGTCAATTGAAAGGGAGGTTATTACAAAAACTTAGTTGTGTCGATTTCTGAAGAGATAATAATATATTTGTAGTAGTTGTGAGCTAGAAAGCATCAAATCAGAAGGTCCGGAACATAAACAAGTTTTGTAGGAACATATATATCTCTCTGACAACTTTCATAAGAATCGGTCCATCTTGGATCCATGACCCAATATAAGTTCCGCTTCAGAAAATTATATAAATACTCATAAATTGATTAAAATAATTAAATATAGTGATTAAATTCTAAAATTTCCAAAAATTCTATCACCTACAAAACCCCTCATCTGAAAATAATTTTACAATTCGATAAACATTTTTTTGTTATATAACATTAATAATACTTTTAAATTCTTTAGAGCTCGTCCCATGACCAATACGTGTTATAAAAAAATATTTCGAAAGTTTTTTCCTTAATTTTGTAATTAAACTAAAATTATTTTATTATATGTATATTTAAAAAATCTAAATGTATTTTTTTATTTTTACTATAGAATGGCAGCACTTCGGGAGATGTGGGCCTACGTGGTAATGGTCATCCTGGAGACAATCCTTTCTACAGTAATATCGACAGTATGCCGGATATACGACCACGTCGAAAATCTATACCTTTGGTGTCGGAACTTGTAAGTACAAATTGCTTTTACTAAAAAAAATGGCTCTATGTTGCTTATCTCAACTACAGTCTGCGAAATAATTATGGTACACCAATTAAGAAAACCAGTAAAAATTTGGTTGTAATTTTAATGTTTTTCAGAGATATTTTCTAAAAAGAAAGGTGCTGTTTAGTAGAGTTGTGCTAAATAGTTCAATTCAGATGAATGAACTAAATCGCTCTTTGAGTTCAATCGGTTCTTTTTCATGAGTTTATTTATTTTTTTATTTTTAATAATATTTCAAATAAACAATCCTGAAATATTTCAATTGAACTAGGCCTTTCATGCCCGACAACTTTACAACTCTACTCTTGATTTTAGGTTTTCTATTTCGACCTCATATTCTACAGTTAATATTTAATTTTATACTTAATATCATACACACAAAGTTTTAGATTGAATATTTGTTTTATTTGTGTTATCAAATTAATTTACATGTGTAAATGATTATGTCGCAGATTGTACATGGATTATTTTCCTTGTTAACTCAAACTAAATTTTTAATAGTATTTTATATTATTTTTATACCCCCGACAAAAGATGGCGGCGATTAAATTAATTTTAACATTCCGCTTGTAACACTTTGAAATATTGGTCGTAGACACACAAAAGTATATACATATGTCCGTCCGCTTCTCTGTTGAAAATACGGTAGGGTCCAGCAAAAAGAGCTAAAGACCTGACATTACCATAAATATTTTTTATTGATAAGATTTGTTCGTTACTGAAAAAGGACAATATCTGTAGACGATTTCACATAGCTTCCATAAGCTATGGAATACGATATAAATAGTCATAAATATGTTATTTATGTATGTAGCATCCGTACAATTTAGCAGATGTTAGGTTTATACATATAAAATCTGACCATAAATGTCCATTTCCACCATATAAGCTCCCCTGAGAAAATGACTTTAACATAATTCGACATAAACCAGTTTTATGAGAACTAAAATCTCAACCAAAATTCAGTTTATTGTCTAAAAAATTTTCAAAAATCTTTTAAAATTATGTACATATATTTAATAAATATACATATATACTATCATGAATTCCATGTGAAATCAATTAAGAAATGGTGGTCTTCAGATTTCTTTAATTTTTTGTAAACACATACTCTATTAGACATATAAGGCATATTTACATTAAATTCTTAAAAATTCCGAAAAAAAGCGAACTTTATTGCGATTTTAATTTGTTCTAAAACTAAAAAAAAATCAAAAAGGTATAAAACTTTAAAGGTTCATATCTTTGAGAGTTGATATCTGATTTTGTTGATTTAAAACACAATCTAATACTATGGCTGTGATCTTTCATTCCAATATAATTTGTATATTCAAAAGTTTAAGATAGTTCATTTTTTATTTAAATGCATTTTGGAAATCGTTCTCCCTTTTTAAAATTTTTTAAAAGTGCTTTAATCGAATATTTGAATCTTTCGATTTTTTAAAATATTCTATATTAGGAAATTTTTAAATTTTATTGATATTTTATGCATTCAACAGAATTTAAAACTGCTTAAAATACAGCACTGATCAGAATTGGGATGCAAATATTTAAATTCGATTACCACTAATGTACGCTTTCATCAAAATGCATTTCAAAGTAATATTTTTTAAGATAAATGTATTTTTGATGCAATATGCATTGTGTGCATTTTCTACATTGTTCTCCATGTTTAACATATATTGTAAGTTCATTATTGATAAATCTATAATTTTTTATATAAAATAAACATTTTTATATTTTTGATGGGCATTTGATCTAACTTAGACTAAAAAAAAATTATTTTCAAAATATAGCGAAAAATGATGCTTGAATATTCGTTTAATAAAAAAATTTATTTTATATGATATAAAAAATAGCAAATTTTGATTTATAATATTTGAAAATACTGTCAACAGAGAGAACGACTTGCATCAAAAATGCATTTATCTTCAAAAATATTATTTAGAAATGTATTTTGATGAAAGTATACGTTAGTGGTAATCGAATTTAAATATTTACCCATTCCAATTCCAATGTATTTTAAGCAGATTTAAATTCTGTTAAATGTATAAAATATCAATAATATTTAAAAATTTGCCAATATAAAACAATTAAAAAAAAAATATTTTTATATTTTGCATAGAAAGCTTCAAATAATCGATTAATGCACTTTTAAAATAATTTAAACAGGGAGAACGATTTCAAAAACATATTCAAAAAGTGCATTTCCATAAAAAATGCATAATCTTAAACTTTCTAATATAAAAATTAAGTTAGAATGAAAGAGCACAGCCATAGTATTAGATTGTGCTTTAAATCAACAAAATCCGATATAAACTCTCAAAGATATGAACATTCAAAGCTTTATTCCATTTTATTTTTTGTAGTTTTCGAACAAATTAAAACCGCTACAGAAATCGCGTTTCTTGAAATTTTTCAAAATAAAAAATGGAGTTGATTTATTTTCTACATAAAGAAAATATATTGATAATATGAAAGAAATTGAAAGACATGAGGTCAAAAATTGTCAGTTTTTCTGTGTTCTTTCCTGAAATCCATGATATGTATGTACATTAGACCGACTCACAAAAAATGTTGCTTTAGTTACCCCCTCAAAATATACGCTGTTATATAATATGATGTTACCCGAAATATTTTGGGTTTAGTGTTGTCCGTTCGTGAGCTGGACAGTTATCAATAAAATATCCTATGGGGGACTCGATTTTTTATGTTTAATTCAATATATTTCAAAAAATCTTTGTTTTGTTTTATGATTGTTTCCAAAATATTTTTAGTCTATCGATGGCCGTTCGTGAGTTGGACCGGTTACAAAAAAGTCCCTTTTCAGTTATTTTCTTAAATTTTACAGTTTTTTCTTATCATTTGTAAGGTTTTATGAAGCCACGTCTAGTGGTGTGCAAATTTTGCATACATTTTATTTATATTAATGAAAAGCATAAGTGCCGGTCCACACACGGAAACTTTAGTTGAGAAACTTTTTCTTAATTCTCTTTTAAAGTTTCCTTAATGTCTACACATAGAAACTTTTGTTTCAGAAACTACGTGTTAATTGCATTGATTTGTTTTTGTACGAATGTGAAGAATAACAAAACAAAACGAGTTTCCGAGTACGAGAAACTCCGTACCGCGAGAGAGATGAATGATATTTCTTTCTCTCTCACGCAAAATCAAAAGTTTCCAAAAAATAGTGTGGACCGGCAGTAACAATTTTAAATTTTTTTGGATATGACAATTATGAGCAAACGGTTATTTATAATTAATACATCATTGGACGCGGCTTTAAAATCCCCTTCAAACGATACAATAAAACTTTAATTAAAAAAAAATCAAAAATACCTTTTTTTAATTTGGTCCAGCTACGAACGGCCATCGCTAGACTTAAAATATTTTGGTAATCATCATAAAACAAAGCAAGTTAAATTTTGAGAGGGGTAACAAAAACGTTTTTGCTTTCCATACAGAGTTAGTCGGTCTAATGTACATACATATGTATGGGTCTTCGATTGTTTATTTGTGTCTAAAACCAACTGGTGTTAAATTTAAGTTAAATTTAAGGTGAATAATAGGACTTTTTTTATTTCTTCTTAAATTGTGTCACTAAAATTATATTTTTTTAATATTTCAAAATCGTATCTTCTAGGCAAAATTGTCGATTCAATGAGGTATAAAACATTTATATCAAAGGTCAAACAACAAAATTATTTACAATTTCCCAAGAAATATATTAAGAAATTATGCCTTTTTTGTATTGTTTGATCTTTTTTTTTTCAAGCAAAAGCGATGTAAACAAAAATATCTACACGAAAATCGAGTAAAATATGAATTAATTAGCCGTTTTAGCTTAATATTTGTGAAAATAAAATGATAGTAATATTTTATACCTTGTTCGAAAGATAATTTTCTCTAGAATATAAGATTGGTTCGAAATATTAAGAATATAAAATGTTAATTGCAAAATTTTTGAAGAAATTAAAAAAGTCCTATTTTTTACCCAATTCTACACTTTTCAATCGATTTCCGGCACGGGTTCCCGTTTAACACCAGTTAGTTTTAGACACTAATTAACCCATCTGAGTAAAATCGATATTTTTTGAACACCTCTAATGTATATAGGATGCTTTCATCGTTTATACTTATTTATATGGGCAATTTCGTGTCAAGTGACCCAACTTTTAAAATCGATGTCTTCCGATTTGCACCACGGTTAATACTATTGAATAGTAGCTCTATCGGTCAAGAACTTCCGAACTTAGAGGGGGTCAAAGTTGGCCATTTTGGTTATACAGGGTTTATTCAAATGAGTGTAACTTTTCACCTATTGGTCCTAGCAAAATTTATCCAAAGGTGTTCAGATTGCTATTAATTCCAAAAAAAAGTATTTTTTATATTAAATATTTTTTTAAAAAATGATAGCTATTAATTCATTGTTTCCAAAAAAAATATTTTTTATTTTTTTTTTTAATTTTTTTAAATAATTTTTTGTTAATATTTTTAAACTCCTTTGTTTGCTCAGATGAAAGCTAATTTCTTTTAAAGGTCCCATAATGGGATGCGAGTGGGATACCTATCAAAAAAGATATTTTTTAACTCAAGAATATTTTTTTAATATAATGTACGTTTTTGTTTTTTTTTTTTTTTTTTTTTGCTCAAAAGAAATCTTCAACCATTTCCTTTAAGAGCTTTGTAGTTACATAGTGGGATGCAAGGGGCTTATGTGAAAAAACCATATTTTAAGTCAAAAGCTTTGCATTTGAGGTAAAATATTTTTTAATACCTATCCCACTCACATACTACTAAGTAAACAAAAAAAAGGTCTTAAAGGAATAATCCAATTTTTTCTAGGACCAATCGGTGAAAAGATACATTTCAATAAAACCCTGTATGACCATAATGTCCAATTTTGGTCCCTCTAAGTCCGCCAGTTCTTGACAGATGGAGTTGAAAATTTATGTCTGGCCTTGGACTTGGTGCAAATTTCATCAAAATCAAGTTTTTGAGTTGGGTCACTTGACACGAAATTGACCATATAAATAAGTATAAATGATGAAAGCATTGCTTCATAAATATCTTAGTGCATACATATGTATGTATATTGAGCCACCAAGCAAAATTTATTTTAATTTTACGAGACATGCTTTGTCGGAAGATATAAGAGATTCGACATAGAAGAATATATGTACATATATAACACTCTTTTTTGTTTTATAAAGCAATAGTTTTCGTGTTAACATGGAATTTAGCCATATGTAAATAATATTAAAATATTAATTGATTAAGGACTATGTCTAAATTAACAAATAATTTATTTTAAATAATCTTAACACACTGTACAAAATACAACAACAATGTATTAAAATGTTCATGTTTTATACCTTTTCTTTTGTTTTAATTTTAATTACATATTATTACTTTTTAATTATTTACATACTTATTTATTCTAAGTATATTTTATTAAAGAAAATCGAATTTGTGTTGTTAATTTCAACCACAACGTTCTGAAAACAAAATCACTTCAGTTTTTACACCACATACTATAAATATACATAAGTATATCTACAATAATAAATCAAAACATACGCAAGTACTCAATTTCAACATTTACATTTGCATTTTATTTACAAAAGGGCTTAAAATAATGTGATTTTTTCCAATCAAATATTTCATACCTTAATAATTGTGTATTAAATTGCATATTTTTATCATTATCAAATAGGATAAAAGGAGATTAAACTATAAATAAACCGCATAGATAAAAACAGCACCGTTAATGATGATCCCAGCAAAAAAAAAAAGAAGTACTTCCAAAATAATTATATTTATCACCACTTCAAAAGTGGCACTAAGTGAGTTTGTCTACCTTCTAAGGAAGTGATCTTTAAAGACTTCCGAAGAGGCGAATATCACGAATAACTTCCAAAAAAATAGCACAAAAATTACTTCTTGAGAATAACTTCAGAAGTATTGAATTTGGAATCAAATAAAAAGGATATCCCTCCTATGACAAGCCTGTGTTAAAATCATCACTTCTTCAGGTCTTTTTCAGTACTTCTAAGTAGTAACTTCTACTTCTTTTTCGCTTCTTTGAAAGTTCTTATTTTGCTGGGATTGGTCGATTTGACGATTTAAACTTTAAAGTATTTTAAATCATAAACAAATGCATTCGTAAATCAGCTCTTGGTGGAGGAAGATCGTCGCGCGTCGTTGCTTAAGGGGGAATCAGGCCGTCCTTTTTGCTCTGCCTTCGAGAGTTTTACGTTTCAAACCGCATTGGTCAAATGTGTGACGTCGAATAACTGTACCGTGTTACGGTTTTTTGAAATACATGCATTCGTGTTAACTTAACCTAGGTTTTAATTTTGATTATGGTGGAGAACCAAAAAACTTAATTTAATATTCCGTCCAGTCGTACTGGAATAATTGGTGTTGGCGTTATAATCATTCGATTCGCCCAAGAAGTCTTACCTGCAAATGCAGCTAAGCAAACTTAAAGTACAAAACAAATAAACAAACAAAACTAATATCTATAAAAATTGATAAAAAAAAATAGCTTTGACGATTTAATGATGATTTCAAAAATTAAGTTGACGATTTTTTCCTCAAAATTTGGCGATTTTACACCCAAATCATCTGGCAACTATGGTTATAACAACGAAAAAAATTTTTGATTTTATATATGGGCAATTTCATATCAAGTGACCAAACTCAAAAAATCCTAGCAAAAATTGTCCAAAGGAGTTCTGATAGCTATTTCTTCATTGATTTTTTTTTAACAATAATTTGATTCTTTATTTTTTTTTCAAAAAACTCCTTAAAGGGCTTTATAGTCTTAGAATGGGATGCGAGTGGGATATCTATTAAAAAATTATTTTTATAAGCTCCACCACCATCAGTGGCGGTAGATGGTGTATAGGTCCATTATTGGTCACAGCTCCCATATAAGGTCCACTTTCGAAAAATACTTAAATACAAATAACTAATTAAGAAATAAAGATATTGGAATAATATTCAACATAAATATGTTTTGTATATACATATATAACTTTGCAAAATATTTTTCGGATTGGTCTATAATTGGACATAGCTCCCATATAAGGCCCATTTCCGATAATCACGTAATCACACATATTACATAACTGAATGAAGATATCGGTATAAAATACATCATGAAAATCGGATAAAATCCTACGTAGTGTGCTTAGAAAGCTTAGATAATTTTTTTAAGAGTTTTGTGGTTACTTAGTAGGATGCGAGTGGGATATCTATAAAAAATATTTGATCTCAAAAAACAATGTTTTTGAGTTAAAACATTTGTTTATATATGCCCCTTGCATCCCACTAATTGACCACAAAGTTCTTTAAGGAAATGGTCTAAGCTTCCTTTTGAGTAAAAAAAATACAACAAAAATTTCCATTTTGAAAAAATAGGGGAAAATTAAATGTCAAATATTCAAAGAAATTGTATTCCTAATTTAAAAAAAATAATTTTTTGATAGATATCCCACTCGCATCCCATTCTAAGACTATAAAGACTTGAGGGATATTGTCTAAGCAAACTTTTGAGCAAAAAAAATACAATTTCATCTAAATCGGAAGACATCGATTTTAAAAGTTGGAGATTTCCTTTATAGTCAGAAAAAAATAAATTGAATACTGTTATTCGGTTTGGTTTTTATAATCCATCTGGTGGGTCCTTGCTTATCGCGCTTGTTTTATGTTAATATACATATAGTGAAAAATATATCGCACACCCGTACAAGAGTGACACAACTCAAAAACTTTCTTTTTAAGAAAAGGAAACAAATTTTTTACAAATTCTGAAACATAGAGAAACGCAACGTTTTTTATTTGAACAGTTAACAAAAACAAAATACACTAATATTTTTTGCAAATTCTGAAACATAAAGAAAGATATAATGTTTTTTCTTGAACAAGAACAAAATACACTAATATTTTTTTTTAAAGATAAACAAGCATCTTGTGCATAGTTTAAGGCTTAAACTTAAGGCTTAAAGAATATAAAAACGCAAAAATAAAAATTTGAGTTGTGTCACATTTGTACTGGGTGTGCGATATATACGTACATAGTTTTTTCCTGAGGTTGACAATGGAAATAAGATTTCCTGGTTGTGTCGAACATATTTATCCAGACAACAATTTTAAGTTTTATTTTTTGTTCGGAGAATAACATTTACTTTTGATTATTTACTGTTTGCTCAACAAACAAAACTTTTTTTTGTTCAAAAAATAATCAGTATTTACCGAGTTTTATTTTTCCAGCAGAAAAAAATAATTTTTAATAATTTTATTTATCACCCAGAAAATAAAAGTTATTTCTAAATTTATTATAAAAATTAGTCAATAAAATCAAAAATTTTATATCAAGTTTTCAGATAAAAAAAGAATAATATAAATTTTTGATCGATAAATAAAACTCAAAAAATTCATTTTATTTTCAGAGCAATAAATAAAGCTTAAAAAAATAAATCAATGTACTAGTATTTTTCGAGAATTGCGTTGATATAATCCATATGACCAGATCATGTCTCTACAAATATATTTTTTTTTATTAAAATTTTAAAAATAGTCATTATTTGATAACAATTACTTATAATTGAAGTTTTGCCAATTAAAATTACCTGTAATATGATTTTACCAAATACTTGTATACTTGTTTAGGTATTACCAATTACTATTACATGTAATTATAAGGGAAAACTTAATAATTAAAAGTTTTCATTTACATGCAATTGTCATTGGCAAAACTTAAATGTAATTGTAATTGGTTATTGCTCAATTATACACTTCAAATAACTGTAATTGACCAAAGTTCAATGTAATGTAATTGAAAATGTCAAAAATTAATTAAAAAAAATGTTCATGTATGGTACCCCCCGATGTGTGGATAAATTCGATATTTTTTGTTTTTCAGTATAAATACATATAATGAAATCTTAATACATAAAAAAATGTAGAACACACAAACTAATTATACAAATTTTTAATAAATATATTTACATTTCTTATTATTATAGTCAAATTGATCCGAACAGCACTATATTTCTAATTTTTTTGGAAATGTATATTCTTTATACATATATCGAAAGCTTCCATTTATGTGGATATAAACAGTTGAGAAATTTTATTTGATTGGAAAAAAATCACAATTTTTATGCTCCCTTAAAAATAAATGTTTTGATATAAATTATTTATTCGATTCTCTTTACGTTTTTTATTTCCAAACCGATTGTATGAAATGAATATGGATGTATCCGTTTAAAATGGACTTGCAGGTGCTCAAGGTACAGATTTAAACTAAACTAATGCGATGGAAAGCAAAAACTTTTTATTCACAAACTTTTTACAAAAGTCTTGTTTGCGGAGTTTTATTATATGTATATGCATATTTACATACATACGTATGTATGTATATATACCAACGAATATCACCGATTTGTTTTTTGGATAACTGATAGAAAATTTATAAAAAAAGTATGATTATAGGAAAAGGTTTTTTAATATTTTCTTTGATTTGAATAGATTTTGAATGTATTATTGGCCAGTATAAAATATACACTTAATTCTTAATAGAGACTATTTATCAAAAGCGTAAATAATGGTGAAGATAGCAAAATGACAACAAAATAGACCCGTTATATCCGACCATTGATGCTTAATAATAATGAAATATTATTAAGCATAATAATAATGAAAAAGAAATTACTATAACAAATACAAAATTTAAATTCGGCTATGGAATATTTTATATACAATTTATAATTTTTTTATTTTCTTGCATTGTTGCCAAAGCTTTCCGGAGTACATACATAGGTTCTAGACCCCATATTAATATTAAATCCGTAGACATATGTATGTATGTATGTACATGGTTGCTTTGGAAAGATGTTGCTGATATATTTATTAAATTTCCCAACCTATTAGAATTAACAACATAAGCATAAACATAAGTAACGGGATTAATTAACATTATATTTTTTAAAAAGAAGTGTCAAAATTAATGTGTTTGGGTTAAACATTTGTCACAGAATTCACAAATTCAAAATATTTAATTTTAATTGTTATTTAAAATTAAACAAATTGGTGATAAATAGATGGAAACTCCGTATATAAGAACAAATATTCTTGTTAAAAACAATAATTTGAGAATGTTTTAACATTTTATTAGATTGATTCACATTGGCTTCACATTACAAAAATATTTTCGTTTTGTTACTTTATTCAGTAGAATTTAATTAAATAACTTTTTATACACTTATTCAATTCATTAATCAATTATAATTATTATTAACATATTTAAACACACTGCGCGAGTTGTTTAAATTAAATTAATAGTTAGTAGTTTATATTGCTTTTATACTTTTCAATAATTTTTTTGTTAGTGTATTCAATAATGACAAATTTTGAATTTATATTGAGCTCAATCAGGTATGTATTGAATCTCTCTTGAAAATTATGTTTGTAATTATGTAAATCAATCTTAGCTTCAAGTTTTTAGTCTGACAACCATCCTATTGACAAACTATTGACATTTTTTTCAAATATGCAAGTTGAAATAGCATAATCGAATAGAGCTTTAAAAGCCATGAGAAACTACGTTATTATTTTTTCCCGGTTATTGAAAAAGTTGACGCACCAAATATCTGTCCGTCTGTGTTTTAAAATCATTTTTTTGATAATTCAATTAGATATGCGTTTAAGAATTTAGCTGTTTAAAAGCAAAAAATCGGTGTATAAGAATCGGAGATATGGTCAAAACAAATGAGATCAACAAATTATTTTTTATGGACTTTTTAATTAAAAGATGTAAAATAGTAAATTTACGTAAAAATCAAAAAGTCCTGAGATATAGGCAGTAGCGAGTCGTGATGTGACAAAAGTATACATTTCGGTTAAAATGCCTATATATTTAAATTTTAAAATAAAAAAAGTAAAAATATGTTTTTGATTCCAAATGTCATATATAACATATTTTCAGTACTTGTACAACATTGGCCATCTTCTGTGGGTATGCCAAAAATTTCGACAAATTTATATCCCTAATGTACATATATACAATTCTAAAAGTGAAATTATTCTTTATTGTAACCTAAACAGCAGTGTTGTCAGGAGCTTCAGAAATAAAAAGCTAAATCGGACATTAAAAAGGGTAAGAAAAGGCTAAAATGCATAAAAAATAGGGCTAGAAAAAGGCAACATTTTTATACCACAAGTGAAAAATAGTGCCTTCGCCACCATAAACCAATGGTTATCGAAATGTCTAGAATGGCAATAGATCCAAAAAGATAAATTCTCGTAAAATTAATTAAAATGTTTCTATTTATACTATAAATCTCTTTAGTAGGGAGTTAACAATATTTTTACCGAAATAATAAGCCGATAAAGAAACTGTCCAACTTAGTGGGTGAATGGCAATGTTATAGGAGCGCAACTATACGGATCGCATTGTTGAAGGCAATTTGATGAAATTACGACGAAGCACAACTAAGTTTCATATATTTTAAAAGCATTGTTGAGCCTGCCATATTTCTTATTGGTTAGATCTCATATCAATTCACTCATAAACAATAATAACGCGATAAAATTAAGCATACAATTTTGAATTGATCGGTCCATATTTATGTACCACTGGACCCCATATAAAGCTTCTTTCAGTTAATTGGTTTTTCTTCAATAAAATGTTTACATGTATCGCACGACTATATATTCTTTCTTGTTGTATTTCATTTCATCTCCAAAATAACGACATATATAGTCTTCCAATAAATAGGTAGTACAATTGCCAAAAAATATATATTTTTTTTTTGGGTGAGTCTTATTTTGATCATAAGAATCTCAAATTAATTTGTCTAAAATTGTAGCTCATCTGAGAACAAGAACCTGCCGGAAATCAGTTAAACGTTTAAAGTTTTTAAATCAGAATGATTTTGTAAATGTTCTTATTATAAATTCTTAAATATTTAATAAAAATTCTAAAATTTTTGCCTTTTTAACGCTGAATAAGAAAGCGGAAAAAAGGCTAGAAAAGCCAGAAGCTAAAACCTAAATTTTGAGGCTAAATGATAAATAAAAAGGCTAAATTTAGCCTTAAAAAGGCTAACTGCTATGGCAATACTGCTAAACAGTAAAATATTGTCGGCCCCAAATTTCGGACACGCGTTACTCAAAATGTTGGTGTTAATTAATGAAGAATCTCAGAAGAATCATTTTAAAATAGTTAGCAATACTAAATATTAAGCATATAAGCATTAATTTTCCATAAACTCAGAAATAATATTTAATACTAAGACGATAGCATATGTCGCTAGTGCTTTATCTTTTCAAATTGTTATAATTTTAATTATAATAAATATTTACATATATTTACATATATAAATACAATTTATTGTCATAAATTATATTTTTCTGAAATCCTTCAATTTCAAACTACAGTTACGCAAAACTATGAGAGTATTGAGCTAATTTATTTTATGTTTAACAAAATCAAATATTTGTGTATTCCCCTAATACAATTTTTAAAAGTTTTAAAATATACCGAACTAATATGAGAATGCTAAACATTTTGTTACAAACTTTTTCAAAATGAGAATTTTTTTCGTCTTACACAAAAAATTTTCGGAAACATTTTATATCTCAAACTACTTGTAGCCGATTTTTAACATGTACAGTGTCGGACAAAACTAAAACACGAACTTTTACTTCTTAAAAAATGCTTAGTAACATTAAAAAATTGGTTATTGTGTAATAAAAATTATTAGTTTAGGGAGAATATAGTCTAGAAATTATAAAAACAATGAAACATAATGTTGTTTAAAATTAAAATACAATGTTTTTGAGCATATTATATAAATTAGCCTAAATATAAATATTTGGATATAATACATTTTAGGAAATTTTTATGAACTATTAACATTAATTACAATTAAATAAGTATATACTTTCTCTTGAAGACATTTTAAGAGCAAATTAACGTAAAATAAAGTAAATTTATACGATTTTTTGCAGTAATTTTTGATCATTCGTCTTCGCAGTCTTGCTATCCTAAGTTAAGGCCCACTTTTGGGTCGCACATGTACAAAAATTATTAATTTTCCTTTTAATTGTAAATCCATTGGAAAACAGTTATCGCATTTTGATTGCCTTCCAAAAAAAGTTTTTCAATTGACGCATTTTGGATTTCTATGCAATCAAAAATCGTAAATTTGCGGAGGGCTGCAGATATGAGCAGTTGAATTTATAAAAAGATTAAAGTAAATATGTTATGTGGATTTATTTGCTAAAGAACATCGTCTACGATTACATTCAAATTGAAGTTGAAATTTTATGGTTTTAAATTCAAAACTTGTCATAATTGGTTCAAATCGGTTGATCTGACACATACAGTGAATATTTAAAATATATATAGTAAATTTTAAGTTTTATAATTTTTTAGTTGTTAAATTCCAAATATTTACATATAACATACATAGTATTTTGAAGTTTTGTATAGTTATTTGCACAGTTTTATAGTAAAAATATATATCAAGTTTATACTTTTTGTTATTTAACTATTAATTTTAGGGAGATCGATACAGTTTTTCCCGACCGGTTTTTTTAAAATCGCCTATTTCCGAGTATCGAATAATCCGGGTTTTAAATTATAAAACACAGTTTTTTTATATTTTTACCTTTTTTGTATATTATATTATAATAATAGAAATTTTAAATTATTTTTGTAATATTAAGCTTTTTATTTTATATAAATGCATTGGCAATCTACTATGCATTAGCCGATTATTTGTACCATTTTTTGTAAAATAAAAAAATATTCTATATGAGGGGCATTACAAATATTTTTTCGATTTTCGACCGGTTACGCGGTCTTAAGAAAAATTATAAACCGAACAGCGTTTTTTGAAAATACCATTTTTCTGATAATCCCGAAAACCGGTTTTTGAAAAAGTCTAATAATCGATCTCCCTAATTTATTTACTAAAAAATTAAATTAACTCAGACACTAGCACGGTTTTTATAAAGTAGATTTTTTTGTATTTTTATTTTTCTTGTTAAAAAGTCCTTTACAAATTTAAAATATTTTTTAACTAGAGGAGCTAACGCTTTCAAAGTAATATATTTTTATGTGAATTGATCGGGAATTTTTATTTGTAATAATTTTAATCTTCCAATATGTTGTAAATCATTACAAGAATGATACTTTTGAGATTACTATGCGGTTATAAATAAAAAATATTACTAAAATTTTTCCAATCACATGCACTCCTCAATATTCTCATAAAACAATGCAAATAAATTAAAAACAGTTTCAATATAAAATTATTCAATACCTTACTTCTTGAGATACCATAAATTTACTCAGAAATTGTTCTTAAATAGAGGTGTCAATCAGAGACACATTTAATTTGCATATGAAATATACTATTTATACATATGTTAGTTATAAATATATACTATATTTTTTTTTAATTCAAGCTTATAATTTACAGTAGCATATAAAATATTAATTTTAAAATATATTGTTTGCAATTTATTTTTTAGTTTTTTTATACATTTTTTATTATAATATGTTAATTAATAACATAAAAAAATAAATTTTTATTGTAAAAATTGTTTTATTTTTGCACCTTAGAAAATTCATTATTTAGCAAAAATTGTTATGCTTTTTCGTATTAAATGCAATCTGCGCGTAGTTTTTGAAAATACATAATTAATATTTAAAAATTAATTATTAATATTTTACTTCGCGGAATTTTCTAGACTATGGCCGCGACAAAACGGAATGCAGGTCTAACATCTGCAGTACCTAGAGCAACCCTGAATGATGAGGAATTGGTAAGTTTTTCTTTTATACGTATTGTATATAGTATGACGGATCGCAGTAAACACAAAATAAATCCAATTAAGTGATTTTTTTAAATTGTATGTATATGAAATGTTTAATAACTGTAATATTTGTTTTTTTTTACTATGATTTTTTCACAGAAAATGCATGTATATAAGAAGGCATTACAGGCGTTAATTTATCCGATATCATCGACTACACCTCATAATTTTGTTTTATGGACTGCAACTTCACCCACCTATTGCTACGAGTGTGAAGGTCTTTTATGGGGCATTGCCCGACAAGGAGTTCGCTGTACGGAGTGTGGTGTTAAATGTCATGAAAAATGCAAAGATCTCTTGAATGCCGATTGCTTACAAAGTGATTATTATTGAAAGATATATAAAAATGTACAAGTATAAAATCATATATACAAAATTTAAATTTCTTTTTAATCAGGAGCGGCCGAAAAGAGCTCTAAACATGGAGCGGAGGACAAGGCACATTCGATAATAACAGCCATGAAGGAACGCATGAAACAACGCGAAAGAGAAAAGCCCGAAATATTTGAATTGATACGGTAAGTGAATCGTTTATCAGTGAAATGTCCTATTTGCTCTATATACAATATATATCATATTTATTAATGAATAAAATCAGAATAAATATCGTCAAAGTAATTGTGTTTAAAAAGGTCAACAAATTTGGTCACAAATTGAGTTTTCATTTGATTTCTATATTAGTTAAGCTAATTTTGGCAATAAATTAACACTTATACTAAGCACATTGGGAACAAACCTTATAGTATGTTCTCACGACAAAATTATTCGTAATTTACGCTCTCATTCGTAATTCAACCAAATGATTCGCCATACAAGCAGGCCTGCCAGATTTACCGATATTTTATCCTAAAAATAGTAAAGTGCCGATTTCCCGATTTTTGCTTCAAAAATGCCGATTTTTTACTCAATTCAAAAATATTGTAAATTGATTATATTTAATGATTTTTTTGCAATTCTAACGAATTTATTGTCAAAACTAAACTTCACAAAAGCAAAAATGACATGGAGCTTTTAAAAAAAAATTGGAAAAGAAAATTTACATTACAATAAAACACAATTTGCTACATCAGCAATGTAATTGGATCGAGATGTACTTATGTATATTATGAAAATGAAACACAATTTATGTATGAAATTCTAAGGATGCTAAAATTTTTAAATTTTTAAGGTTCGAAAATAAATTTACACATTTTGTGGAAAAGCTAATTTTGAACACTTACCCGGTTTTTGTTCGACGAAAAAAAAAGAAAATAATTGATTACAAATGTGCTTTCACAACATTCCCGGATTTAAAACCGATTGGCTTTACAGTTATTTTCTGTGTTTATTAGTCTTTTCTCTTACTCAATGATCCATCAATAACATATTTTATCATACCATTTGGAATGGTTTAAAAAAAAACTGTAAAAACAAAATTTTTACAAAAATCTTCTAATATCGATTAGGACTAGAACCACTTATTATTCCTTATTAGACATATGTCTAGACAATTGGTTATAAATCCTATTGAAAAAAAATTATTATTGTTGTTGATGACGACCACTTTGCCAAGTAATGTATGAAATAACAACACTCATTACCAAAATTAGAAAATATACAGGATAGTATTCAACAAATATTAATAAATTAACATTTTTCTGCAAAATTGATACAAATTCTAAACGAGTTTATTCTAGTAAAACAAAGTTTCGGTTTTCCCTTTTATTACACCTATTCTGAATAAAAATTCCCTGAATTATGTGTGTATGTAAAAACAATATTGCGACTTTTTCTTTGGTTCAAAATTGTGTATGTATAAACAATATTGCGATTTTGAATTAATTTATGATATGTTTCTTTTGTTCAAAATTGTGCATTTTTCCAATTGCCGATTTTTAAAATGTAAGTGCCGACAAATACAGATATTTTAGGAAAAAAATTGCCGATATTTCTATAAATTTATCTAGCAGCCCTGCAAACAAGTGCAAACCTCTTTCGCACGTATTAAATTGCCTTACGAATTATTCTCTAATCAGTTGTTTAATTTCATTTAATGGAAACAAACAAATACATAATATACAATAAATAAACAAATAACCAGAAAAATAATACAATCAATAAAAACATGGCAGTGATCAATCAAATTGAATTACGAATGTGTCATGAGAACGGGTCAATTCATAATAGTAAATCAAAACTAAATTTGAGTAATTTAACTAGCCGTGAGAACATATTATTACAAAGAAGGCAATAAAATGTCACTCTTATATTAGTCCGATTTTAGTCTTCCATTCCGTTTTTCTAATGATTTAAATGCTTCCCATATTCAACTTTATTATCTATTTATCTTTAATATTTAGCTCTTATGAAACTTTCAATCTATTATCTCTCTACTATATTTCCAAAAACGGGACCGACCACTCTACACCATGCACCAGGAGAAAACTGATGATTTAAATGGTTTGTCTCGTATTCTCTTTAATTGATAACTACATATGTACATAATAATATCGATACGGACATATTTTGTAAGCATGAAAAAATAAATACCCTACATATCGTCCGTACCTTAGTTAAAAATATCGTCCGTACCTTTATTTATAAATGGTGGATCTAGCATATACACTGGCGAGCAAATGTAAGTGAATATTTGTAATTTGTGCACTACAGTTGGAATAAAAAATGAAATTAAAAAATCAAATCCAAAATTTGTATAAGGTGGCACTGTGTAAACAAATCCCATGCCATAATCGTGTTTTACAGTTTCATTTCCGATGGTGCCTTTGATTTCTCTTCCCAGGGCGGAGACAGCCATTTTGAAAGAATCGAAGCATTTTGCAGACTCGTAACCCCATCTTTATAGATTTATCATCCCAAATTTGTAGACTCATCATCCTGGTCATGTGGATAAGAGCGCCAATCCTGCTGAATAATAAATATTTCAGCTGAATGGCGATCTTAATCACGCTCTAAAAAACTTGAAAAATAGCTTAGCGGGCAAAATTTTGTATTTTTCTATTATTACTAGTGTCCAAAGTCCCGACCACAATATACAGTCTTCATTGTATTTTGAGCATTCATCGTTTTGCTTTTGTGGATAAGAACGCATATACTGGGGAATAATTAATTTCTCCGCGGAATAGCGACCCAGAGCACATGTCAAAAATCATGAAAATGGCTTAACTGACAAAATTTCTCATTGAAAATCTCTCAGCCTCAACTCGATTGAGATATTGTGATGAACCCTGAAGATACAGTTGGAACAATAATGAGTAACCCCATCCAATTCGGAAGAGCTTGGGCAACGGGTTTATTTTATTTATATTTTTATTTATTTAATATAGAACTTTGTAAAAAATATTAAAAATGTTAGCCTTCCCTAAAGATTACGTGGAGTGCAAAACTGAGAGCATGCGAGTTATTTTAGTTTTGTTCGTTTTTTACTTAAAAATGTATGCTTTTTGAAATAAAATTCATTTTGTTAAATATTATTTAAAAAAATTACAGAAAAATTTTTTGAATTTGCTTTTTATACCCTCCACCACCATCAGTGGCAATAGAGGGCATATACATATAACTTTGTCATTCCGTTTGTAACACCCAGAAATATTCATCTGTGACCCAAAAAGTATATATTCTCGGACCTTATGATATTCTGAGTCGATCTAGCTATGTCCGTCCGTCTGTCTGTCTGTATAAAACATTCTCGCGCTAACACGAAGCAACAAAAATTAACGAAAGTCATCTAAAATATCTACTATTGTCCTAGGCAGTTTGGTATTAAAAATGAGCAAAATCGCTTCACATCGGAAAAAGTTATGAATCAAAATTTTAAAAAACTCCGAAAAAATTAAGCTTTTTTACATATTCTAATGTAATTTTCACAAAAACTGTGCAATATAACTCCATGAAAATCATCACACATTTGCTTCTATATAGGTGCTTTGTTCTTGTTGAAAATTGATGGAATCGGCCCAAAAATGTGCATATTCCCGGAAAATGAGTTTTTTGTTAATAACTTCCGTTTGAATGTCGATATTTTCTCGAAATTAAAGTTTTATGTCAGTAGAATTCATCCAAAAAAAAAAAAAAATTCAGGATCGGTCCATAATTGGTCATAGCTCCCATACAAGGTCCCCTTCAGAAAATCATTCAAACGTACATAACACATTATCAACTAATGATATTCATTCAAAATTTGGCACACATATTAACTTTGTATACAAAAATGTTATTTTGAAATTTATTCACGTTCGGTCCATATTTGGTCATAGCTCCCATACAAGGTCCCCTCCAGAAATCACTTAAATGCACAATATTACCAAATAATGATATAGATATAGAATTTCGCCAAAATTTTGCCTATATACACTAATGTTAGTGTGGAATTTTTTTTACAATCGGACCATAATTGGTCATAGCTCCCATACAAAGTTCTCTTACGAATATCTCTTAAACGCATATTACTCATTAAAAAATATAGCTATTGATACAAAATTTGGCACAAATATTAGATTTCAATATATTTTCATGATCAGTTTATAATATGCGTGCGATCGGTCCCATACAAGGTTCCCTTCCGAAAATCACTTAAACACATATTACTTATTACTAAATTGCGATGTAGAAAATAAATTCACTGAAATATAGATTTTATGTACAGAAATGTTACTTAAAGATTTTTTGCGATCGGTCTATAATTGGTCATATCTCCCATACTAGGTCCTGCCCCGAAAAATACTTTTACCGTATTTAACTAGTTGCATTATCAATTTGTGTAGAACAATATTATATAAAAGCACATTTTTAAAAAAATAATTAAAAATATTTCTACTGATCAAACAATGTCTTTCATAAATATTTTGAAAGACATTTTTTACATCTTTAGATCCTGACAGAATAAAATAAAAATAACAAAATAACAACTCTTCATGTTCGCTTGACATTAAATATGGACCAAGCCCGATAAAATTTTGTAAATATATTTGTATTTACATAATATTTTATTGTGCTGAATTTCATCGCGATATTTGTGTTTATAAGTAATTTTGGACATTCAAGTAATTTTCTGAAGGGGACTTTGTATGGGAGCTAGGGTCAAATGAGGCCCGATCTCTATGAAATTTGGCAAGGTCATCAAGGCTTGTATAAAACTTAGTTGTGCCGCTTATCAATATTTAACATAATTATTAGCTCAGAATCCCTTTTCGGGGGGTTCTGTTGTATGGGGGCTAGGTGAAATAATGGACCGATTTTAACCATTTTCAATAGGCTTCGTCCTTGGGCGAAAAAAGGGTGTGTGCCAAATTGTATTCAATTATCTTGAAAACTGCGATCTGAACCTTGCGCACGAGGTTTACATGGACAGCCAGCCAGCCAGACGGACGGACCAACATAGCTTAATCGACTCAGAAAACGATTCTAAGCCGATTGGTATACTTTAAGGGTATAGGACGAATATTTTTGTATGTTACAAATATCAGGGTGTGTGCCAAATTTTATCCTATTATCTTGAAAACTGCGATCTGTACCTTGCGCA